TGGCGTACGCCTTTCCCAATTTTGAACCATGCAGTGTTTCCTTGCTCTGTTCTGACGACTGCCTCTTGGTCCAAGTATAGGTTTCGCATTAGCACAATCAAGTGTTCTGGGATTCCCACAGGCCAGAGTCTGCGCAGACGGGAGACAGAGAGATTGAGGGGCTGAGCGGGGGAGACAGGAATCAGTGGGTGCGGGCAGAAGCAGGGGCCAAACAATAGAGAAGCGACTCAAGGGGAAAGCCTTACTATGCCCACAGGTACAAAAGGTCAGAGGCTCCACCAAGTTCGTTCGGGCCTGAGGGCCGCATACAATCTATACACCAGTTCTACAGGACACATCAACCTCCCTCAGAGACATTACCACTAAACTTAAGAGACACTGTTCACAACATAAGAAATTGTCAGCAGCTCACATAATTGGAATCACAGAAGCCAAGAAAACTTCAGATACAAGCTATCAGATTAAGGGTTTTGAATAGTACAAATGGTTAAACATTCAGCTACTGAACTGAAGGTTAGTAGTTTGAAATCTCCCAAAGACTCCTCAGCAGAAAGTGCTGGTGATTTATTTCCAAAAGGTCATAGACACATACACACACAGTTCTAATGAAAAATGCATCGGTTTCCCTGAGAATCAACTTGATGATAACAGGGATGGTTCTGCAGGAAATAAACATGGTGTAGAGCATAACTCTCATCTGCTCTTTTGGACAAAATGCTTGTCTGTCAAACACTGCTCCAGAGTCAAGCATCCAAATTAAGATAGTCTAGGAGGAAGGATTTGGCCATCCACTTCCAAAATAGCAGGGCTCAGAAAACCCTGTGTACAATAGAGCACTTAGAGTAGACTAGCTGATATGGCACCAGAGCCTTTTTACTGGGAATGACAAAGGAGGAGACAAAGTAACAAACCCAGGATGAGATGGATTGATTTTGTAAGTGGAGGAGTAGGATTGGGTCTGTTGGGGATGATAGGTTGGTTCAGGATAGAGCAGAATTCAGAGATGTTGTACATAGGGTCACTATGTCGAGTTGCAGGTGACTTGACAGCACATAACGACAACAACATTAATAAGAAGTAAACCAAAAAGCAAACCTGATGCCATGGAGTCAGTGCTGACTCATGGTAACTCCATGTGTAACAGAGTAAAACTGCTCCAGAGGATTTTCAGGGCTGTAACTACTTTATGGAAGCACGTTGCCAGGCCTTTCTTCCACAGCACCAAGGAATGAATTTGAACCACCTACTTTTGGATTAGTAGACAAACATAAATGTTTGTGCCGTGGACTTAAAAAGGAAAATTTAAAGCAGCTTTATAACTAATTTGTATTCTTTTTTGAGGGGGAGGGGTCTCTTTAAAAAAATTATTGGTTTACATGAAATCATTCATATACTTCATGTTTCATACGTGTATTTTGTGTTTTACACAATCATTCATATACATTATATTTTATATAGTTAATTACCATTGATCTATGTCTGTTATGCACCCATCCCAACCTTTCAAGTTTCCACTAAACTTTTCCCATTCCTTCTCCCCCACTCCACCCACCAAACTTTGCTATCCCAGTGATTTTGTCCCTTTCCCTTTTTCTGCCCTCTTCTTTTAGCTTTACCCCTTTCCCATCTAAACATTTATACACATCTTGCTCAGTTATCCTCCTGTTTTCACAATACTTATGCAGTATATATCCTCATGGGACTAAGTTATTTCACTCAGCATAATGTTCTCTAGACTCTCCCATGTTATATGATTCAGGTATTCCACTCCTAGGATTATATCCCAAGGAAATCAGAATTGAGACACTATATATATATATATATATACATATATATATATATACATATATATACACACACACA